GTATGCCCAGAAAATACAAAGCAAGTCCTAAAGAATCTCACTTGTTCTGTTACAGCAAATAACTCTGTTTATTTTCATCTCTCCTACTCTCAGATTTCTGACTCTGTGGTCAACCTCTATACCCACTTCTAGCCTTCTTGTTTGGACACCCATTATGTCTCCCCCTGAAAACTGGTTCTCATCTCTGCTTTCCTGTCTGATCTCAGCATCCTCTTTCCCAGCTCCCTACTCTCCCAAACACACCTGTTAAAATTTTTTCTGCTGAAATTGTGGCCATAGAGGCCCACTAGAAGTGGTGGCTCAGACTTGTGCACCAAGTTTGTTTAGTTGGGTACTACTCTGAAGCCCAAAAGACCACAACTTTTTGCCTGAAATTGACTTAAAGATAGACAAGTGCTTCCTGCACTCTTCCAGTGGGCGGGCTCAGAGGTTTGATGAATCTGTGCAAAAGTGAACCAGTGATCTTATTTATAGCATGATTTCAACTGAGATACGTTAAGGTTGATTAAATAGAGGGGATCAATTGGCTCAATAAATAAGATATCAAAACTGTATCCAGGGCACAGACAAAGAAATGGGAAAGCACTAGGTTCTTCTGAGAGACACGTGAAAACTGAAAATTGTCAGCTCAAAATAATGCCTGTAGAAATTTCAATTGGGCTGTTCCAGATATTTCCATTTGCTCTGTTCCTCTCCTCCAGCTGAATTTTGGGGTGCTCCGCAGCATCTAACAGTTCATATATTAAGAAAATAACACTGAATTCCTGTCTTATGCTGTGCACTGGCTCCACATTGGGTATATGAGGATGAGTAAATTGCAGTGGCTTTCTGACTCATTTCTACTTCTGTTTCCCTGATCCATCACACTGCCACCTGAATCCCATCATCTCTGTTCCTGAGAAACTTAGCAGTGCTGTAAATGCTTAATAAATACCTTGTGAATAAATGAAATTATTTCCAAGTTTCTTTTATTCAGAGAATCTTTGTGCTAAACTTTTGTATTTCTTTTCCTCCAAATCATATCTCGTATTTCACACTTATTAATACATTAATTTGTTTCTTGCCCTGATGCTTGCAGCTCTTTCATGTTTACAATCTTCTGCATTTTTCATTTCCTTCATTGATTTAATCTTATAGGTCTCTTCTTCTAGAGAAAAAAAATTAAGCTATGTGTTTGACTTCATGGCATGTCTTGTGTATAGCTCTGCTTCTGGATATGATGCCATGCATGTATATGCCTTTAATTATTTCTCAGCTTTATTATTGAACAAGCCCATTGTCTTAATTATGCTTATAAAGTTTGGTAATATGCTTGTGACCTAAAGTTCAGATAGGTAGCATTAACATTATTCATTGGTCCTTAAGGGTCTCCATTTTACTCTGTTAATGTATCTTACGTATTTTGTTTGGCTATTTTATGTGTCACAATTTCATCATTCACTAAGAAATTTATTAAGTTATCAAGGTTTCTGAAACACAAAATTGAGATTAAAAAAGAACCTTTTATGTTCTTTTTATCCATGTTACTACAAAGAATTTCAGTGTTCTGTAGATTTATGTACATCCTTCCTTTTTCACTCCTTCCCTTCTTCCTTCCTTCTTGCCATCCTTCCATCTTTCTGTCCTTCCAGACTTCTTTTCTCTTTCTTGTTCTTGCTGAGATTTGAGATATTTCCTTCTCTATATGCTGAGAAATCTGAAATTATGGCAGGGACTCAAGTACTGTCTATCCCAGCTCCTTTGGCTTTAATATGGATATGGTGTAAGACAGAGGGGCTTTGATGTTAGAGAAAATTATGCTCAGTCAGTTTTTCCACTTTCTAAGTATGTAATATGAGCAAATTTTTTTTTTAAACTTAGCCTCAGTTTACTGATCTGTGAAATAGAGATACTACTGTGCTCAGTGCTGGCATAAAAATAAATTAGAAAATGCATTTAAGTGTTCAACACAATACCTAGCATATGAATACTTTTTAAGTGATAATACTAATCTTCCCTTTGCAAGTCCAGTTCAAGAAGTATCAGTCAGCACAACAGCCTGCCTCTACTTCTCCCTCCCAAGGCATTCACACATACCTCTCCCCTGCATTTAAGGAATATAAGCCCACGATAAGAGTACTCAAAGAAGTATTCCTACTTCTCTTTCTTGCTGTCTCGTTATCTGCTGATGATGGTAGCATAATTCCTGCAAAGGATGGTCTTTTGCCTGATGAATGACCATCTTCTTGACTTTGCCAGTGGAGTCCTAGAGAGGATGTTCTTACTCTGAAAGTGAAAGTCACTTCAGTCATGTTCGATTCTGTGGTCCTGTGGACTGTAGCTCTCCAGGCTCCTCTGTCCTTATAATTCTCCAGGCAAGAATACTGGAGTGGATTGCCATTCCCTTCTCCAGGGGATCTTCCCAACCCAGGGATCAAACCCAGGTCTCCTGCATTGCAGGCAGATTCTTTACCAACTGAGCCACCAGGGAAGCCCACTCACTCTCAGCTCACTAGCACATTTTGGGTAAATGCTACTCCTTCAGATGTGTGGCTCTTAAAATATACTTCTGGATGTTCTGAAGGCTTAGGGTAAGATCATGGGAGAAAGTGGCTGAGACAGAGTAGAGAACAAGAACAGTATATTTAACATAGAAGAGAAAAGGTCAAGAACCGAAGAGGCCAGGATATCAGATGGATTATCTGACTGTCAAAATCAATAGGAAATACGCTAGAAATACTGTTGGAGTGACAGTGAGCCAAAAGCTAAAATCAAGGAATGAAAGGGAGTGACTTTGGGAAGCCTTAAATCCTGCAATAAGGAAGGCAGGTGGGTGGTAGAATTGAATGATATGTGACTCAGAGCAGGGGACTTAGGGGGAGGGCAAGCAGAGAAGCAAAGAAGAACAAGAAGCGCTCCTACCAGGCCTCATGTTTGAAGGGTGTGGAAGAGAGTCATCATCTAAGAGGGCTACAGGGAAAGCAGCATCCTCAGGGGAGAGTACAGATTCAATTTAAATGAGGAAGTTGAAGGAAGTTTCAAAGAAGAGATCCAAGATCTGGGGAATTTGCTGATGTCTACACATGTGTTCTATAGGGCTCAGTGAATGGGTTACAATTTCTGGAGATAGGATAGAAGCTTGGAGTCCATCGTCGTCCATCGTCGTTATCATCATCATCTCTACCTTGCATACATCCTCAGGTCCTTTGCCTCCCTCTCACTTCAGCAGCCTTGCCTGACTAATCCACAGCACTGATCAAATACAATTCTTTGCCTGTTCCATGCCTATAAAACCATGTGGCTGGGTGCTTGTCAAATTAATGATCATAACCTCAAGTGGGCCCATAATGCTGCCTGTCAATCATACTAGATTTCCCTAGTCATTTTCTGTTTCATTTCCCCTAGATGATTATTATTCAGTCTCCTTACATGTTTCACCATCTCCCTACTCTTCACTTCCAGCTATTAACCTTACTTCCTAGTTCAAAAAAGAAACAGAAGAAAAAGAGCTTTCAGAAGCTTCCACCACCATACTTACCCACTCTTTGCCATAGTATCCATGTACTCTGCTTTCTTGCCTATTAACCTAAGTGCTTTGTAATTCTTTCTCTTATATCAGTTGTACCCTCTCTGAGTCAGTGTCTTATGCCTGAAAATACGCTTGTATTGCCCCACCTCAAAAATATTTCTCCTTGACTCCACCTTCTTCTCTAACTATTGCCTTATTTCAGTTAAACGTCACAGCAAAATGTCTTGGAAGAGTTGTCCATATTCTATCGATAGTTTCTGTCTTCCCATTCTTTTTTTTGTTTGTTTTTAACTCAAGCCAGTCGTATTTCTGCTTCCCAAATTTCATCAACACATTTCTCTATACTTACCTGGTTTAACATTCAGGAACAGAGTTAACCACTGTCTCCTCCTTGAAATACCTCATTCACTTTAAAATATTTGTCGAGAACTGTGCAATATCTTAGATTTTACCCTGTTTGTAAGCCAACAGTTTAGCTTGCCAGTTTCATGAATGGTGTGAGGTAAACGTGATAACCACTACACTACAGAAACTCCATTAGTTTCATGAATGGTGGTAGAAGGCACAAGACTTCTGCATCAGAGACAGGTAAATTGTCTATAATAAACACAGCAATAGCAGTAGCCACAGTAGGAGTCTTTTTGTACTGGTTCCCTTAGCCCCAGTCACTCTGAGGCAATGCGAAAGGGGGCAAACTACAGCTACCGGCGTGGTAGGTTGTGTTATTAGAAAGGAAGCCTGATCTTAGAGAATGCAAATCTTTTATGATGGGCAATTAGCATGCCTTCTCTTTGCTCCAGAGGGAGGCAGTATCAAGTGTTCAAGGTCGTTTGCTATACAGACATTCTTGAAAAAGATCATAGGGAACTGTCATACTATATAAAATATCTTATCACTAATTATCAAGGCATGCAGTGCGTTGCTTGCAATGTGTACAGAAACACGAGAGACCCGTGGAGAACTCTCTCACAGTTCCTCCCTCTCTGACCACTTCTCTTCTGTCTTCTCTGCTGATGCCGCTTCATTCCCTCTTACCGTAGCTACTACTCTCCTGTGGCCGTTAGCTCATGGAGCTACTTAATTTAAGTTTTCAACTATTCAGTTGCATTAGCCATATTTCAGGTGCTCGATAGCCACATGAATGGCACAGATATATAAAATATTTCATCATCTCAGACAGTTATATTGAACAGCACCTAGGCTTAGCCATGGTTGGTTCTTTCTTATTCTGTTCCTATATAGAAACATAGATTTCTATAGAATCTTAATGAATAAGATTTATTATAGGATATATATGTATATCTTTTCTTTGTATATTCCCTCCTTTGGTGATCTCATCTAGTCTCAAGGCTTTAAATATGAGTCTCGGATTTATACCAGCCTAAATCTCTCCCCAGAAGTCTAGGTTTAATTCTCTAACAGCATTCTGCACATCTTTATCTGCATGTCTACTACGTACCTCAAAAGTAACAGCCAAAATTGAATTACTGACCTTCTTGCCACCACTGCTTCATCTCCCACCAATGAATTGGTTCTTCCTGCAGTCTTCCCAGTCTGAATTATCTCAGTTTTCTTCTTCCAGTTGTTCAGGAAAGCAAACAACGGTTTTAAAAAAATCAACCCTTAGATTCACCCTCGACCTCTCTGTTTTCAACAGAGCCCTCGCATGTGTCCCACTGGCTCTTGTTTCAAAATATATCCAGAACCTGACTGTTCACCTTTCCTCTACTGTCACTTGGTTCAGGCCAGCATCATCTTTTGCCTGGAATATTCTAGGCAAATTTGGCCCCCTTTTTTGGTCTCCCTACTTCTACCCTTGTCCCCTGTAGTCTGTTCCCATAAGAGCAACTAAAATGACCTTGTTTTAAAAGTAAGTCAGATCATGTAATTTCTCTGCTTAAAATTCCTTAAGTAGCTTCCTATCTCACTCAGTAAAAGTCAAAGTCTAGTCACACTGGGATTCACACCTTGCTAAAATATTAAGACATGTTCCCACCTCAGAACGTTTATAGTTGATACTCTTTCCACCACGCCCCCTTCCAAGCTCCACACATGTGCTTTTTCCCTCATGATACTGACTTATTGAAGAGACCTGGCCAGATGTCTTACAGAATGAGCCATATTGTGAACTTCTCTGTTTACCTGTGGTTGTTTAAAACGTATTTCTCTATTGCCTGTATTTCCTATAATTGAATGTTAAATCTGGAAGTTTGATTAAAGCTAAATATTCTTGGCAAGAAAAGTCCATACATGATATTCAGGCTTCATATTGCATCCAATTGGGAGGTACATACTATCTGATCATCCCACCATTAGTGATTCTAAGTTTAACTAACGTGTTATGGTGGTGACTTTCAGATCCCTTCATTATAAATTTATATTTTAACCTTTGTGATTAACAGTCTGAATGGTGAATGTTATTTTTTTAATCACATGATTTTTAAGAATAACTTTGAGCTATTTGTATTTTTTCAAATAAAATATTTTTTAGAGATCCATCCAATATGTATTGGGTTGGCCAAAGAGTTCATTCAGTTTTTTTCTGTAAGATGGCTTTATAGGGCTTAGTGTATTTAACTTCACTCAACACAATTTTGTTAGGTTGTATTGTTACAGCTGTCATATCAGCACACATTTTTTAGAAAACTTACCAAAATAGGTGAATTTTTTCATAGCCATTTTAATATTGAAAATGAAAGAAAAAAAGCAGTATTTTCAGCATATTATGCTTTATTATTTCAAGAAAAGTAAAAACACAACTGAAATGTAAGGAAAGATTTTTGCAGTGTATAGAGAAGGTGCTATGACTGATCGAACATGTCAAGTGAAAGTGAAAGTTGCTCAGTTGTGTCCGACTCTGCAGCCCCATGCACTATACAGTCCATGGAATTCTCCAGGCCAGAATACTGGAGTGGGTAGCCTTTCCCTTCTCCAGGGGATCTTCCCAACCCAGGGATTGAACCCAGGTCTCCCGCATTGCAGGTGGATTCTTTACCAGCTGAGCCACAAGGAAAGCCAAAGAATGCTGGAGTGGGTAGCCTACCCCTTCTCCAGCAGATCTTCCAGACCCAGGAATCGGACTGGGGTCTCCTCATTGCAGGTGGATTCTTTACCATCTGAGCTATGAGGGAAGCCTGAACATGTCAAAAGTGGTTTGCAAAGTTGCATGCTAGAGATTCTTTCCTGAACAATGCTTTATGGTAGAACAGTTGAATTTGATAGCGATCAAACTGAGACATTAATTAAGAATAATCTACACTAAGGGAGATAGCCAACTTAGTCAAAATATCAAAATCAATAAACATTTGAAAGTCATTTACACCAGCTTGGTTATGTTAAATTGCTCTGATGTTTGGATTCTGCCTAAGTTAAGCGAAAAAGAACTTCTTAACCATATTTACACATGTAATTCTCTTCTGAAACATAACCAGAACATTCCATTTTTTAAGACAAATTGTGATAGGTGATGAAAAGTACATACTATACAATAATGTGGAACAGAAGAGATCATGGGCAAACGAAATGAACCACCACCAACCACACCAAAGGCCAGTCTTCATCCAAAAAAGGTGATGTGGTGCATATGGCAGAATTGGGAGTCCTCTTTTATGAGCTCCTTCCAGAAAACCAAACGATTAATTCCAGCAGGTACTGCTCCCAGTTAGACTAACTGAAAGCAGTGGTCGATGATAAGTGTCCAAAATTTGTGAACAGAAGCTCATAATCTTTCATCAGTATAAGCAAGACTGCATGTTTCTTTGATGACCAGGCAAAAACTGTTACAGCTTGACTGGGAAATTCTGATTCATCCACCGTATTCATCAGATATTGCAACTTCAGATTTCCATTTATTTCAGTCTTTAAAAAATTCTCTTACTGGAAAAATTTCAATTCCCTAAAAGAGTGTAAAAAACCACCTGGAACAGTTCTTTGCTCAAAAAGAGAAAAACTTTTGCAAAGATGGAATGATGAAGTTGCCTGAAAAATGGCAGAAGATAGTGGAACAAAACAGAGAATACATTGTTCAATGAAATTCTTGGTGAAAATGAAAAATGTGTTTTTTATTTTACTTATAAACGGAAGGAACTTTTTGGCCAACCCAGTAAAGCAGATAACAGCAGAGCTATTCTAATTTCAGTGGGAAATGGCTAGTATTGGCAGCTTCCAAGGGAACTCTGACGAGCTCAGTTTGTAATTCACAGAGCCCAGCCAAGCGCTGGAGGAAGCGAGGCCTGAAGAGGGTCCATGAAGTCTTAAGGTGGCCTAGCATCTTACGAGAAAGGTTCAGTGCTCTCTGTGTTAGAGCTCAGTGTCAATTCCTGGGAAAGCCGTGGTTATGGACGGTCACCAGAATGGCACTTGGTTTCTTCCTGGCAGTCCACCCACTGCTTTTGGTTGTCTGGGTGCCGTCTTTAACATTCTATCTGTTCTGCAGATGTGAAGATTTGAAATTACTTCATTTTTAGTGTGTGTTGGGCTGCAGTCTTTTCTTTTTTTTCCAGCTCCCCTTTTGGAAATTCTTCATCCACAAAGAATTCCAGAATCAGACATTATTCATCTAGTGTCTGGAACACTAAAATCTCATGAGCTTCCATGTCTTACCTATTTCCACCTTTAAAATATTGAAAATACTGCCAAAGCTGAAGTCGGTTTTATTATTTGCTTGCTGCTTGCTTCCTTTATGTACCTTTCTTATCATAGAGCTTTAATGTGCCTTAGTAAAGAGCTGAACAAGTAAATTTGGTATGTCCACAGATTGTATCTAGGATGTATGCCATTGATTTTTATTTTCATGAAAAGGTGTTTTCCTATCTTAAGTGGAAAAGGCAGATAATAAACTATAATTGTCTCACTTTTGTTTTAAAAATTGATAAATATTTGCAAAATTCCACATGTCTATTCATGTGTATGTTTATGTGTGTGTTGAAAGTCAAAAAGGGGGAAAATCTTCATACTGATACTGTCTCTGGGTGTGATCTTTATTTTCCTCTTTGTATTTTCTCTTTCTCTTTTTTTTTTCCAGCAGTCATGTCTTATTTCTACAGTCATTACTTTTACAAAGATTAAAACTGTTATTTAAGAAATAAACAGTTATAACTTCGATCTGTCAAATCCAAGCCACTTTCAAAGCAATTTCAGACTCCTCCTCAGCTACTGACATCCATGCCATCTTTTGGGATTTTTCTCTGGTCTGTTATTGTCCCATTCAAGCAAGTTTTCCCCTGACTCAGGCTTCTATTTATTTAACTCCAAGTTCCTGGTCATCACCTAGAATTGCTCACTTGTACCACAATAAACTTGTCAGAAAAAGAAAGGTGGATGTTATGTTCTAACAGGAACTGTCACTAGAATATGATTTTCTTTTTTTTTTGTATATGGATTCATTTGTATTATTTTTTAGATTGGACATTTAAGTGAATATGATTTTCATCAAGACCCAGAAGTGCCCCCCAGTATACCCCTGTATACTCCAGTTGAATGAATTGATTTATTCTTTTTTGCCTCATTTATTTTGTAAGTTCCTACAGTCAGGAGCTTTGCTTGTTTTCTATGATACCCTAAACATTTTGGGTACTTAAATAAATAGTCCTTTTTTCTTTTTAAAGATCCATAATTACCTAATAAAACTGAATGCAGGATCTGTTGTCAGCTTTGGCCAGAATTTGTATTTGCACAGGGATACAGAAAAGAACAGGATTTAAAGATAACTCATGGACTTCCTCTGTGACTGTGTGGTAAAGAATCTGCCTGCCAGTGCAGGAGACGCAGGTTCAATCCCTAATCAGGGAAGATCCCACATGCTGTGGAGCAGTTAAGCCCACACACCACAACTTTTGAGTCTGTGCTCTAGGGCCCGGGAGCCACAACTCCTGAGCCCACATGAGGCTCCACAGCAAGAGAAGCCACAGCAGTCAGTAGCCCCTGCTCCCCACACCTAGAGAAAAGTCGACGCAGCAACAGACCCAGCACCAAACAGAAAGAAAATTTTTAAAAAGAAATAAAGGTAACTTAATTCAGATCGTACTCATAGATTTGTGATCACGGGTAGTCACGTGAGCCTTGGAGCTGCCTTCATTTACAGCTCACTGATTGTCTTCTGAACTCTCTCTACCGAGCCCTCCTACCTGGTCTGCCTGGCTCTGGTCTTGCTTCCCCAGCCCTGTCCTCCGCGGCGCTACACAGTGATACGCCCACAGTGTAAACCTGACCGAGGCCCCCTTACCCCCACTGAAGCCGCTCAGGGACTCTCTGATGCTCTTGCCTCTTCCCCACCCCTTCAGTGGTAGCACCGAGAAGCCTCTCTTCACACTTGACATTGAAATAACACCAAGCTCCCAGGAGCTCCTCATACCTCCCAGGCCACCTCCTGCCTGGCCCTCTTTATCCACAAGGCATCTTCCCTTTCTTTAACAGCCACTGCTTCTGCTCCATTCCAAACTCGGCTTGGCAGTCCTGCTCTCTGGGGTGCCTTCCTTGATATAAAAAATATTCTTTTCTCTGCCTAATTACACTGTAAGCTCGCTTGAGGCAAAATTATAGGATTTGTAGTTTCCTTGTCTTGAAGAGTACCTGGCTTGTAGTAGCATCAAATGTTTATTAAACTGGGTTGTATATATTTTCTTCTAAATCATCCAAATGATTTTCATCTATAGAATGTGATTTTATCTTTATATGATCTGCTCCAAAATAAGAAAAGCCTTAGAAAAGGGAAACATATGAATCAGAGTAACTTAAAGTACTACCAGCAACAGAGATAGCTATTGTTGCTGTTTTGGAATGTATTATAGAGAATTTTTTAATTATAAAATGGTCAAAGTTTAATCACCGGACTTCCCAGGTAGCTCAAAGGTAAAGAATACACCTACCAATGCAAGAAGTGCAGGAGACTCCAGTTTGATCCCTGAGTTGGGAAGATTCCCTGGAGAAGGAAATGGCAACCCACTCCAGTATTCTTGTCTGGCAAATCACATGGGCAGAGGAGCCTGGTGGGCTACAGTCCATGGGGTCGCAAAGATTCAGACACGACTGAGTGAGCGAGCGTGCACGCATGCACAAAGTTTAACTTCATGGTTTGCCGCTTAGAGCAAATACTCAGAAATCAGTAGTTTTGCAAATTACATGCATTAAAAATTAATAGCCAGTTCAGGGACTTCCCTGGTGGTCCAGTGGCTGAGACTTCATACTCCCAATGCAGGGGGCACAGGTTTGATCCCTGGACAGGGAACTAGGTCCCACATGCTACAACTAAGAGTTCACATGCCACAACTAAAGCTCTTGTGTGCCTCAGCTAAAACCCAGCACAGCCAAATACATTAATATTTTTAAGAAATTAATAGTGTGCTTTCCACATCAAAAAATACAGAATAGTTTTTGGGTAAAATATTGCTTTTTTTGTAATTCAAAGCAAGAAAGAATGTTTTGCTTTTCTTGTGTTCCCTAGACCCCAGAACCATCTCTTGTCCTATTTTTCCAGAAGAGAAGGTGAATCCCAGTGAGGGCATTGACTTGACCATCTTACTGAGCTTGTCAGTGCAGAAGTAGAAGCTTGGACAAGGAACTCCTGCCTGCCCTGGTGCTTTTTCCCTCAGCCACATTTCCTCCTTCTCCACTGGAGTAAAGAAAAAAGGAAGTCTTTAAGCACTTCCTAGTTCCTGTATGCTCAAATTAGGCCTGCTGCTGAGATGTTCTTATTTTACTTCTAGCCTCATCAAGACATCAGCATTAAACCTAGAACATTAATTGTTCTTTCATGTTCATATATGTAATTTCTTTGAGCATCAGAAAAATATTGCCTTCTATGAGATTTCTTATTTTCTCAGCAATTTTTGAAGTGAATACAACAGATAAAATATTCCAGGTCTCCTTTTTTTATCCTACAAGTAGCTCTGTAGTATATGTTTTTATATCCCTCTAAATCGTTCTCTTGGATCAGTTTCCCTACTGAGTCATCCACTACAGAGTGGCGGTGTTTTCCAGGCAGATTATCGTATTATTTCTAAATGACTCATTCCTTCTGAATCATCACACCTTGTGTACTCTATTAAAAAAAAGTTTTAGGCACTTTTCTACAATTTTTCCCTATCTAGTCTTCAGAATGTCCTATTTAAATAACACG